CGCGCCACAAAAAAAAATAAAAAATAAAAATCAAACCGTAAACGAGCATTATTTCGGCAACAAAATGAACGTTAAATAGCACACAAATACAAGGCAGTAGGTAGGTTATGAGTGAGACTGGATTTTAAAAACTCAACCTGTTTGTTCTTGAAAACAACAATCCAAAAAGTGCCCCAGTGAAGAAAGAAACAGAAAATAAGGGATGAAGCCATGACTTTTAAAGTTATACAATATTTACAAAAGTGGATCCAAATGTTCTGTGAGAGTTGGTGACATATATTTTTGTAGATATCTATATATCTATAGCCCATCCTGTTGTGGAAAAGTGCCAGATAATCCAATCAATCGCCACAGAGCCCTTCCTGCAGCTGGGAGACTCTCTGAGGAGGGAGAAATATTATTTAACGTTTGTTTTGTGAAAAATATCATGGACGTTTTGTGTTTACTGCTGTTCGACTTATGATAGAGGTCATACACTTTTTTATTTACCACATCACGGCACTCAGGCCAATTATTGAAGAGTTTAGCCTGTGAGCTGCACAAATGTACTACTACTAATAATAATAATATTAAAATCTGTGTTCATAACTAAATCCTGACCTCGGTTCTCACAGAATAAATAAGAGCTGAATGGCCTGCACTTTCCCAGCAGTGTTTTGAATGCAAAGCGGCTCTGTGCTGCCTGGCTGACAGATGGGACTCAGGCGATGCTCACCCTCAGCTGGACTCCACTGGACTGGGGGCTGCAGCCTTTACTGGCCTCCAGTTTACTCCATTAACGCAGCTCCTTTGACCCCCCCAAACCCCCTCCCTCCCCCTGCACCAGCCACCCACCCATCACTGCTGGACGCACAATTTAGAGCTACAAAACTAAACGCCTTTCTCTGCATTTGTTTTCCCTTTTACGCACAGGAGAAAAAAATGTGTTTTGCGATATAAAAGTGGCGAATGGAAACCATTCAGCTATGCTTTTCGTCTAAAACCAGGTACCCCTCCTCCCCTCCCTCTTTTTTTTCGTCAAGTATAATTTCAATACACAATAGGGGCTACACCTTGAAACTGCGTCGACTGGAGTCACAGTGCTGGGCATGTATCCTCGGAGAACACAACACAGGCTTATGTTCCTTTAGCTCTGGGAGAGGAAGAAAATGTCCTGTCCTCCCCTCACTCATTTTTCCATTTCTCAGATATTCACTGCAGATATTGTGAGGACTCACTGCAATCTATTATACATAAAACACCCACTATAGCGTCTCATAGTCCAGTGATTTATATATAACCTTGGGGATAAATAAAAAGGATAAACATGTCCTGGAGGAGCGGTCCAGCAGAGTTCATTGGACCGGGGTCTGGACCCCGTGGTGCGGCGGCGTGTCCCCGTACACATCCTCGCTCCCCGGCAGAGCTCCGGGAGGGGTCATGCGTTTCTCCTTCTGTCTCCTGTTACAAAACCAAACCCTCACCACTTCTTTCTCCAGGTGCAGACTGTCCGCCAGGCTGATTATTTCCGACGCTGCCGGTTTAGGGCACTTCAAAAAATGGCTCTCCAAAGCTCCCTTTACGCTTACCTCGATTGAAGTCCGTTTTTTCCTTTTCCTCCCCTGCGCCGCGATTTTGTCCAGGCTGGTCGGGCTGCCCGAGGTGGAGTCTGCCTCCTCCAACCACTTGTTCAACAGAGGCTTCAGCTTGCACATGTTTTTGAAGCTGAGCTGCAGGGCCTCAAACCTGCATATGGTGGTTTGGGAAAACACATTTCCGTACAGGGTCCCCAGGGCGAGTCCCACGTCCGCCTGCGTGAAGCCCAGCTTGATCCTCCGCTGTTTGAACTGCTTGGCGAACTGCTCCAGGTCGTCCGAGGTCGGCGTATCCTCGTCCGAGTGGTCGTGGTGGCTCTGCGGCCGGTGCTGGTGCTGATGCTGGGACGGAGGGTGGCCGTGGTCGCTGAGGTGCGGGCTGTGGTGGTCGTCATGACTGTCTCTTAGGTTGTGGTGGTGCATCCCCTGCCCGCTGCCCGGGATCAGCCCGTTGACGCTGAAGCCCGGCTGGGAGTAAATAAGGCTTTGGCCGTTCGTCGTCGCCATGCTCGGTATGTGCGCCGCGGTGGTGGTTCTCCACGCACGGCCGTCGTGGTGGTTCCCGTGCGTCTGGTGCACCAGGTGGGGTGGCCGCGACTGGTGCTGCAGGTTGCTGCTGGAGTTGTGCATCTCGTCCCGGGCGCCCTGCACCGCGGGTTTGATGTCCTGCTCCGCGCCGAGCGGGCTGGAGGACCACGGGGCTGCCTCTCCGTGGGACAGCGCCGTGATCCATTGGTGTGCGTGGCTGAGCGTGTGGCTGTTGCTCTGCAGCGAGTAGTCGCTCTGCAACAGGCTCTGTGCGTCCCGGTACGCCGTGGCTTGCTGCATGCTGCCGGGCTCCGAGTGCACGATGGATGCGCTGGAGGTGAGGATGTTGTAGTGGTTAGACGCTGCGGTCGCCATGACTCTCGGAGCCGGACTGGTCGCTCTTATTAAAGGAACCTCGCATTTGACAGATCCTCTCCTGCCCACAGGCGGCTCCCAGGCGCTCTGCCAAGTGGACGCCGAGGCGCACCTGGACTCCGCCCCGCCCCCGCCGCTCATTGGACGCCAAAAGATGATGGACGTGGTTACCAAGGGCAACGGCGCGGCGATTGGCTGTGGGGAAGTCTCAACAAACACTACTCTCTTTGTTGGAGAGGTGCGAGTTGAGGCTCCCGTGGAAGCGGAGAGCCGGAGTGCAGCATGGGGAGACGGAGCACCGGGATCAGCAGTGCAACTGTAAGATACAGTTGATTTACTTTGATAATCAAGACTGTAGGTAGTCTAGATCCAGGGGACCAGGGTTTCCTCTCTAGGGAAGATTAATACAAAAGCTCTGTTGTGTAGGATGTACAGCTGTTTATTGAGCTAGATTTTACATTTTGTTAATTGACAGTAATTCTGCGCACATTGTTGATATTAAATGTTATGGAAACGTGTGTGTAGCTAATTAGATTAGGCGATGTAAACTTTGTCATCTCAGCAAAGATTGTTAGACTTAAAATCAGGTGCATTTCTTTATAATGTGCATTTATAGACAAGGCCTATTTGAAAGAATGTGAACGTTTTAATGCTGCAGTGTTGCAACATTTCTGCTAAGACGCTGTAGATGTGTGCATATTAATATGTCTGTTATTGTGCAGCGTTGTGTGTGTGTGTGTGTATGAAGGAATAAGTATGTGGCATTTTTCTTTACATAGTCTATCAATCAGCCGTTAGTTTTAAGTTAAGTTAAAATATAACACTGACATTTTAATCTCATGAAACAAACAAAACGTTTTATTTTGAAATTTATTTTTTATTTAAAGCAGTTTTCAAACAACAGGCGGATTAAACATACTGTCACATAAAGTTCACTGTGTTTTTGAGATGTGGCATGGTGCCGTGTGGGAGAAATAAATCTATAATATAACTAGCTCCCTTTTCTAAATCGAGATATCTGGAAAAAGAAGCTCAGACACGTTTCAATCAAATCCATTTTATTAAAATAAAAACTTCAATAAAAAGTGAATAAATTGGATTAAATTGTGAGTGAAATGGACATTTGCTGACCTGTAGTCTCCTCCTATCTGTCCTAACAGCAGCTAGGTAAAGCTTTAACAGCAGTTTAAATTGAGATATTTGTCATTTAAATATACTTTGGCTGCATCCCTGTAAAGTCCATTATGTTTCTGCATATTAAAGCCATCCCAGGCAGAATCCTGATATTTTACTAACATTTATCAGTGTGTAAAAGTGTAGGTTAGTACATGTTTCTCAGTGAAGTCTTGTAAATGTAGACATCTTTCATATGTCCTAATTGTCTTGAAAACTTTTAACAGCCCATAAAGTAAACAAATCCACTTTTGTGTCCAACCAGGCTGTAAAGTGAATTAACAAGGCTGCCTCTGGAGGAGTGGCTACACACAGAAAAAGGAGGCACCCTGGATTGAAGTTAAGCTTCTATATGCAGCTTAAATTACTTTTTTAAACATTGAAATATACCATTTATATGGTTTCTCTTTAATAAATGTAGTTTGGAGAATCTCATGTGCCCCTAAATGGTTGTTTACAGCCTTGTAAAGGATCTATGTGGGGTCATAAGAGCGTGGTGCAACAGTATTGAAAGACTTTGAGGATTCTTTACATCACCAGAAGAGATTTAGAAATTATTTTCAGCTCTTATATACAACTCTTTTAGAGGTAATAGTGTGTGAAAAGCTTCTCTGGCTGCTCATCATTCAGTAAAGTGAGGACAGACACAAGTGAAGAGGAGGATTAAGTCCAGACTCAGGCCTCCAGTCCAGGGCAGGGAGGGTAGGTTTCCAACCCGTCCCAGCTGTCGTCCCCCCGATGTCAGCTTCAGGGACCAGGACTTTGTCCAGAGAGGGGACATTCCTGGCCGACCGCTGCTGGTTGCCATAGGGAGAGGTAAATGAAACAACAGCAGTCGCGTCGCTGCTGCTCCCCCCCACCCCCTTCTCTCTCCCCTGTTCCTGGACTATCTAAAGGCCTCTATTTAGAGAGGCTCTCTGCTGCAGGGACAAAGCCTTCGCAGGGATAAAGGAGGGAGGAGTAAAGAGCACAGGGCCCTGAGAGAGAGAAAGGGCTGGAAAAACTGAAAAAGATGAGAGAGATTATGTCTGTCCTCAAAGCTGCTCCGCACACTGCAGTGACATAAAGCAAACTGTGGGAGAAAAAACACAAAAATTTGGCTTGGCACAAGTACGTTTCAAGTTGCTAACTTCTGAAGCAGTCCCTTCATTTGGGATATTAGAAGACATTAATAATTCCTACTGTATATATGCAATTAAAGAGCGCTTTTGGTTGGTCTATGGCACCAATAACCCAATCCACCAGAAATAAAGTAATACATACTGGCCACAAATTAAACCTATAAATCAATGGAGGCAGTTCTTCAATATCCACAATTTATAACTTCTAAACTATGCAAATGACTCAAAGTGTAATTAAACATTTTATTTAATAACTTGAACGTAACAGTAAAATTAAAAGGCAGTAAAAAAGCAATTATCAATGAAATATTTTCACAAAAAATATTCAAAGTGCGCAGTAAAAAAAAAAAACAGAAACGTCTACATGCGGAATACGCATGCACACAAATCATTCTTAGCAATGGTAATTTATTCAAAAAGTTCACACAAGGACACATGTCATGTGTTTAGACCGAGGTGTGTGAACAATACAGGGGCGTGTAACAAAGGCAAAGTGCTAATTACAAAATGTTCTCTAATCCCCGCTTTAGATTTCATAACACTGGTTTAAGTTGTTCTTAAACTTTTCTTTGTATTGATGCTGCTTTAGAGGTGGAAACAGATTCTTAATCTCTCATCTCACTAACAAAGATGAATAAAACATACAATGTAATCACCTTAAAATGCATCTAGGGATTTAAAATTGTATATTAAAAACAAAGTTTGTTATTTTTATCCTTTAAAGGCACAATGTGCAACCAAATTGTAGCAAAATATTAAGGTGTGTTTTTTTTGGAAGGATGAACAAGACAACAGTAATTATAAATCTTTATTGTTTTCTGACATCATTGATCTGTTTACATTAATGATACCTGTAAACAGTGACATAAACCAGGCTAATGATGATCAGCTGAGAAGCACAAAATGCTCATATTCCATGTATAACTCAAGCTCTTCAATTAAGTATTACTGATTGGGCCTTTAATGGATCTCATTTCATAGGCTAATAATCCTTTATGGATGTGAATCCAGCTGCACTGATAGCACATGAAGCCGCCAGGATTTAAGTCATACGGGGAAAAGTTTCCAGGCACGGCTCAGTAATTCATTCTGGTAATATTGAACATTATTGTGGCGTAACATTGAAATCGGCCAAATCAAAAGAACATTGTGGTAATTAGGCTGTAATTCAAGGAATTACCACATCGCCACACAGGCTTAAATAGTCGTGTTGGGAGAAACGCAAAGCACATTATTTTAATGGTGTAATATGCAAACTATGGCTCGTTTCAATTACATGGCTTAACAATGCATAAATGATGCGAGCCTTGTTATTTGGACTGCAGGGTCCTCAGTTATTCAATCACTCAGAGGGGCCAGTGTTAGGGGCCATGCTGCCTCCTCTTATACAGTAAAAACACAGTGCTGAGCACCGAGTGCCGCTGCCAAACTACATTTAAGGGAATAAAAATGAACAGCAGAGAATGTAAGCGTTAAATTAACAGTAGGATAATTATATGACCCGTGTGCTGTAAAGATTCAATTTCTAACGCTCTAATTAGGCGACTGTCTCCCCATACATCAGCTCACATCCCTCTGCCAATTTCTCACCAGAAAGCGTCCTGCGAGCGGAAATAATTAGATTTTATTAAGACACGGCTCGTGTAATAAAGAAAATCAGAGGAGGGGCTGGTTAAATATGATATGTTTTTTAAAATCATTGATTGTTCCACACACACAGTCCACCGAGTTCCATTTAAAGAGTCCAACCTGGAGGTAGAGAGGCTGGGATCTGTCTGACTACATTAACCCATTTAATGAACTGTCCACCGTCTACTGTAGGAGCAATGCACAGTAACTCAACCCTTCTGACAGAAATATAGTCCCAGTGTAATAACTTTTAGAAGGATACTATACAAAAATCACTGCAAAATGGGTGTATGTAAGGCTGCAACTAACAATTATTTTCATGATCTTATGAGTGAAAATTGCTCCCCAGAACCCACAATGGCATATTTAAAGCCCCCTCTAGTCAGAAATTAATTTTGCTCATTGTTACTTGACTTGGATGTTTGGAGCTTCACTGTGCAGAATGATGTATGTGCATTGTTTCAGCTTCATCTGCTAAAGGGGAAAAGTTTCTCTGAGCTCACTTTAAATCTCAGTTTAACACCTGGATGTGACGTCACAACCGGTCTGAAAGCCAATCACGGCCCAGTATGCGGTGTGTGATGTGGCTTTTCACTGAAGCTTGAGACATCTTGCGTCTAGTACTTTAACTTCTGAAATAAAACATATTTGCATATTCATCTATTCTGTATTATTTCAATCAGGGGGAAGGAGCAGATGTGATGTTAAGAATTTTCAACGAGGTAATTCAATATGGGACCCAAATTATTATTTTATTAAGCACAGTATACCTATGTCTTAAAACATGTCTGGGGGGGCATTTAAATTGGACAAAACCTAGACCTGTTCAGATTATTGTCAAAGGAGTTAAAGAAATCAATTATTAAAATTGCAGATTCATTTTTATCTGTTTATCGAGTAATTATTTCATTTCTTACTGTAGATAGGCATATTACCCTATTAAATACTGTTATGATGATAGCTGGACTATTATACTACTATAGTGTAATCCTATTAGGTACAATAAGATGTCTAATAATAGTATTTAGTGCCACAAAGACACAAAAAAGTCACTGCTGGAGCATTTTTGGTTTCTTGCAGCCTAATATTGAGAGAATAATCATGAATAAATGAAAATTTCTTTGCTTTGCTTCCACCACCTTGCACAGCTTTGACTTGTGTGGCTCATACCAGACCAGACACAAAGACAAAAATAGTGAGAACTGAACCAGTCTCTTTGAATTAGTAAGATTGTATCTTCCAAATAAAAGATATCCCGAGTTATAACAATGTAACTTGCATTGTTACACCGAAATACAAAACATTCAATACTTTTTAATCAAGGGCAGATCAATTGTTGCAAAAGTAATAACAGAGATGTCACGTTGTTGAGGTTTTATTTCAGATTAGCTGTTCAGATATCAATAATTCTCACCAAGGCTTGTTTCAAGTCTTACATAACGAGAGCCGACCCACGCCTTTCATCCGTACTGTAATTGTTGTGTGCATCAAAGAGAGAGGGAGATTGACAGGCTGTATGGGAGGATTAATACAGTGGGTGAGTGACTACATACTGGGGGACGGAGGGAGGGGGGGTGAGGCAAGAGAGGGAGAGGAGAGAGAGTAAGATATGGGGCGAGAAGGAGGAGAATGAGAGAAGAAGTAGGAGAGGACAAAAAGTGGGGAGAGAGTTAACGAGAGGGAGAGCATTAATTGTGTGCATTGTGCCGGGGCTCTTTTGCTGAGTGTGGCTGTCGAGGTGCGGGCGCTAACCCCTCCAGCAGCCTGCCGTGATCTGAGCCAGCTCTCAGACTGCTGTATTCCAATGCAATTAGGCCACTCAAAGGCCTGCTTAAAGCTGCACCCCCACACACACACACACACACACACACACACACACACACTCAGATAGCAACAGCCCCTGTGGGTCCCCTCCATTGTAGCGAGGAGGTGTATTCTGTCCCTCTTTGAGGCCCTGGATGAAGAGACCACCCTGGGGAGCAGAAAAAAGGGAGGATTACCTCTCTTTCTGTCCCTTTCCCTCTGTCTTTCTCTCTGTCTGTCTCTTTATCTCGCTCTTCTCTTTCTGGTTTAGGAGTTCACCTCTAAATCAGCTCAGGCAGGCACAGAGCTGAGCTTTGGTTCGCTCCTCCAAAGAGACACAACTTGGGAGTTTTTTTTTTTTTTGCAGGAGGAAACAGAGGAAGGAGAGCAACGAGGCATTTCTGTGATGGATGTCATTGTGGGACTGCTTTAGCAATACCACTTTCCTCTTCCTCTTTCATTATTCATACAGTCATATATTTCAACAAGTGGCGTGGGGCGTGTAGCTCCCTAGCTTGTCCCCGTTGGCACTGGCGCCGCTAGCCTCAGTCTGTCAGTCCCCTCTGTGTGCTGTATTAAGAGAACGCTCTTCATGATAGCAGAGTTCTCTTGGCTGGGTTTCAGCCTGTCTCATTCCCCAGAAAGCATTTAAAGCAGATTACCAACCTAACGCTACACCTCCCCAATAAGAGAAGAGAGGGAGAGAAAGAGGGAGAGAGAGAGAGAGAGAGAGAGAGAGAAAACCTGGCACATTAACACCTGCAATACTACTCAATGGCATCAACAGATTAACGAGGTAATCCACACAATGAGGTCTTTGATTCGTGTGGTTTGGCAGGCAATAACGCCAGGCATAATGCACACTGTTATTTCAGACCGTCCCAGCACGAGAAAACCTGGCAGAAGCTGTTCCCCTTTTTTTGTCTCTCCATCAGATGAGCTTTTGAAGATTTTTAACTCGTGCATCTGGTGCGTTTGCCCGTTTCCTTGTCAGAGAAATAACCTGCTGGCTGCTCCTGTGGCACATATGAAGGGAGAAGGGGAGGAATCACAGGCTTTCTGAAGGCTGTTTAAACAGCGGGGCTGAGGCGCTCTCCCTCGTCTCCCCCCATTTTTCTGCATAAGGACGTGCGTATACGATGTGTGTGTGTGTGTGTGTGTGTGTGTGTGTGTGATAGATCTCGTGGTCCCATCGCTCATGTGCGGCTCGATTAGCCCCACGTGCCTCGTTCGTCAGACGTGGAGGCAGAGCAGATGGCAGGAGACGCACCGTGTTACCATGCTGCGGCACTATGTAACGCTGCTCTAATTGAAACATCAATACAGCCCTGTCAATACACTACTGCTACTTTACAAAACACCACTACCTTCAGACCTGCACTTGACTGGGACAGAGCTGCTATCACTCTGACATCTTTGTTTCATATTGGGATGCACCGGTTTAAAAGTTTACGGCTGATTCAAAATGGCAACAAAGTAACTTCTTCCAACACTTTCTGTAACGGTTTCTGGTGTTTTTAATATCCTAATTTCAATTAAACACTTGAGTTGATCTCTGTTTGTATACAGTGTTGTGCTGGTGGAGGAAGCATGCAGAAATAAGAGAGAGAATTTCCTCTGTAGCATCTCCGCTGTGGCACATTTTTAATGAATTGATAAAAAGTTGAGGGAGTTCACATGGCTGTGATCAGTAATTCGACGTTATCGGAAATTCAGTGGAGAACAGAGAGAAATTAGGCGGCTAGAAATTAATTTGCTATTTGTCCAACTCAATGAGGAGTGACGCAGCCCCTTTAATGAATGGGTAATCCATTTCTTATTGCACTGAGCTGAGTTCACCCTTCAATGAAGTGGAAAAAGACAAACATATCTTTCACTAACCTTTGCAACTTCCGAAAGCAAACAAGGAGGGGAGATGAGTGCAGAGACCCGCTTCTGAAACTATTTGTTTTTGGGGAAGGATTTATATGTTTGTGTGTGTTTCTGTGGCTTGGAGAGTGATTGAGTTTTAAAGCCGAGCTAGGAATCCACAATAAATAATCTGTGCCAACACTGAGGCCACACAGTCAAAGTGCTGGACATGGAATTGATTCACGATCAATTGACTTACTGCACTGTGAAAAATAACAGTCTTTATTTAACCATGCTTCATATTTGTTTCCTCAGTTCCCCTTCCCTTCCCCTGCCTTTCTGCTCACAGTTTCCCCTCCTCCTGGAGCTGAAGAGTCTGACTGTCGCACCTCCTTCACATCCATGACGGCACCCTGGAGAGTCTGTGATGGTAAGGAGCCGCTCTCTCTGTCCACATTATCCCTGATGGTCTCAGGAAGCTTCTTCACAGCAGAAGGTCTTGCCCCCGTGGAAGACTTCTGTGCAACATCTGTCTGATGTAACTGTTGGATATAGCATTAATTTGACATGAGAAGACTTAATCTACAGGAATTTCATGCAGAGGCAGACAGTAAAAGCAACTATGGCTGCAACTAATGGCTACTTTCAACATCCGCTAATGAAAAATGCCTGTCACCATTTCATAAAGACAAACAGGATTTCTGTGAAGATGTCAAATTCATGTTTTATCCAACCAACAATCCAAAACTTTAAGATCTTAAGTTATCTATTACACATGACAAAGAAAGACAGCAGATCCAGAGAGGCTGAAAATAGGGAAAAACATCAGGATGAAAGGATCAACTAGTCAATTAATTGATTAATTGTGTCAGACGTAAAATGAGCCACATGTCCAGTAAGAAAAAACTGGAATTTTGGCTGCCAAATGGGCTAAATGCCATGTGCCTAGCATGAAATGAAAACCCACAAAATCAGTCTCTCATCTCTTCCGAATTGTAACCTTTAACTGTTTCATCATGCAAATAATTCATTAAACAGTCACTGAATTCCTGAAAATACAAAGAGACAGTTAAGAAACAGTCAGGGAGTGCATTTCTATCCACCTGTTTGTATGCACGTTTTCAATTTGTGCTTTAAAAAACCTGAGTGAAAACGTAGTAAATTTTAAAAAGAGGAAAAATATTGCAAAACATTTCTTATGCTCGGCTGAGATGGAAAAGTTCAATAAAAACAAAATGCGCCCAAGTGCAATCGAAACGTAGCTAACATGTCACTCATACGTCTGCTTCACCGGAGAGACAAAAAAATAGCAGCAGAAGAAAACATTAGATCTGTGTGGAGCGATGAGGAGCCTGTAACCTTCCATAAAGTAATAAATGAAACAAACCGAAATGTCATATTTCCATCATGCTTCGTACTGTCGGAGGTTTGACTGGCACTCCTTGAATTATGTCATTTCATTGCGTCTTCTTCTGCAGTGGTTTAATGGCACCCAACTGGAGAATTAACGCAACCAATGGTTTATCTCAATGAAGCCTAACTCCTAATCTTTGCAGCAGTAGTTGATGCGAACGCACATTAATTCACATTTTCTGGATGGACACTTGACTACATTATCTGGACTTGGTGCTGCAGCGTACCTGGAAAGCCATACTGGACATCAGGAGCTTGTTGAAGGTCTTGTTATCAGGAATCTTCAACATCTGGGTGATGGAACAAAAATGTATGTTACAGACAAATAAAAGGTAGGATAGTATAGAACCATGAAGCCCATGCTGTTTCTGAGGATTAAACCCAGGATGACAAAACATGAGTTCATGAGTCACTGCAGTTATTAAAGATGCATTGTGTAACATTTAGGAGGTGTAATCACATGAACATAAGAATTGTTGTGTTTTCGTTACCTCAGAATTACTAATTTTTAACTACATTGCAACTACACTGCTTGATGCCACTAAATCCTACATACTGGTCCTTTAAATTGAAGGTGTACTGCAGTGATTTTGTGTTCCAATTAAAATAAGTGGGGGAACGCATAAGAGACAGATTTGAAAATTAATAGTTAAAATCGAAGTCAATATTACGGGTCGAGTTAAAAAAACACTAGCTACTTTATTTCCCATAATGCAACCAACAGAATCTTTTCATTCAAAACTCTTTCTGTTAAACAACTGCACCTTTCAAACCCCACACCCCCAATTCCCCAATTTTAGCCTTTCTGGAAATCGCTACCCCAAAACCTCATGACATCATCAAGGATTGTGTGACAAAGGACATTATACAACCCTATGACCTTTATGAGAAAGAATTGTGAAGTGGCCCATCTGATTCCAATATGCCATGATTTATTTATAGTTGTTGTGGTAAATCATTTGATCTTGTAAAGACTCCTTGAGGTTCTCCGTCTGTTGCACTTCACACCAGCGCCACATGCAGCAGGGGTTGTGACTCCTTTGACATCCTTTTCCCCCTCCTTATGGATGTCATGAGTGACGAAAAGAACTGGGAAAACACCAGAGGAAACCTGATTCAACTCTGTTTTCTCAAGGAAACAGACAAGGACAAACAGCTGAATTTGAAATCAATCAAAAACTGGCTCTGTCCACAGGAGCGACGTTCAGACTCTGGTTACGATTTGATCTTGGCTCAAGTTTTCAGTGAGTGTTGACATCTCAGAGTTGTGAGGAATCCCAAGCCGGCAGTTTACAGCGGGGGTTTCAGTGATACAGTATTTACAAGGCACGAGGAAGTGGGAGCGCTGCAACAGACGGCACCGTACACGGCGCTTTCAATTATTTCTCACAGCATTCATGAAAATAGAAGCACAGCGGGGAGTACAGTATGAACAGCAAAACTATAAAAAGACATGGAGCGAAAAGAGAACTCCCAAGCTAAAATAAATGGCGTTGTATGCTGTTGCTGGTTAAGAGCTGAGAATAGTGTATGTCTCCGAAACAGGAGAGCTGGAAATGGTGTGGTGGAGTGTAGACAGGGTGAGTGGTGATGGAGCAAAAACCTGAGCATGAATAATTGGAGTTAGGGCTGAAGTTTTTATTTGATAGCGTCTTAAAAATCTGTTTTGAGACTGAAGTTGGTCTGATAAACTTCATGAGAGAACCACTATCAGTAGGAACAGTGGTCCAGGCCAGTCTTCGGAGTCACGTACAAAACACTTTATTGACTTAAGAGTTATAATGTCCTAGTCTGAATGAGATCAGAGTTTAAATGTGTTTCTGAAATCAAAAATAAAAGTAACCAAGAATAAAACACAGAAACAAGAAACAGGTCTTTTAGGATAGCACTTAATGACCGGTAATCGTCTTGAATCTGGTGAGGATACGTGAAACATTTGACCTGCTGGTGGCGCTAGAGGGAACATTAGCGGCTCACCAAAGTCGGTAGGATTTATCCTCTGTGGACCATGAATGTCTGTACAAAATTTCATGGCAATCATTCGGATAGTTTATTAGAAATATTTCAGTCTGGACCGATCAACCATCAGATACTGCCATTTATCAGTCTCAATCGTTCAGTCTCTCATTTAAGTCATGGAACAATTTGCTCAAGCAAGACATTTTTTGCTGTCCAACTTTATGTTAAACCATTCTGTCTTTATTTCTGTCCTTCTGTTACTGCTCTTCGATGACACAGTGTTGAGAGCCACACATACATTTTCTCATATTTTCCAATCCCCAAAACTACTACTGACACATAATTTGTTTTTTTCTTTCTGCTGATTTTCAACAACAGGGCTTCAAGCTCTGCAACACTAAGTCTTTTTACTCTTGTATGACATTTAAAACGGAGTGGAACAGGCAGCCTTATAGCAGTTTGGGGGCATTGATTATAATGATCAAATCTCATGAAGGTGTACCTTCTCATGAATAGGCGCCATTCATTAAGTCTGTGAAGTTAAGAGAGTTCGGTGAATCTGACTTGGTACGCTCGTAAGCAAGTCTCACAGGAAAAGAAATAGAAGGATAAAAAAGGCCCAAATTATTTGTGAAGCTTTATGTTTGTAGTTTTGGCCAATCATTTGATTTGGTTATGATCATTTAATATGTTGAACTGTTATTTATTACTCAGATGATGACCAAAACTGCAAGAAGACATCAGTGGTAGTAACCCAGAAATATCCTTCAGATTGAAAGCTTCAGATTTACCATATATTCATGCACTGGAATGCACACGCACCGACACCATATCCTGTCTGCCCTCTAAGTCATCAACAGAAACAGATGACAACCAGCTTTTCCTGGAGCTGATCTCTCTCTCTCCTCCCTTAGATGAGAGGCTGTTAGTGAGGGGGAGAGAGAGGGAGGGATAGAGAGAGAGGCTCACAGACAGAGATGTTTGTTTCCCAGCCCTTCCACCGTCTCTGTGGGACGACCCTCCCCATCCACCCACCAACCAACCAACCCCCCCTCTCCCCAACCTAGTGGATCAAACAAAGGACATCATTTGTAGGCCAAGTCTTTTTCTGAGCGTCTCTCTCTTCGGCTCTGCATACCAATCCAATACAGCCCAAGGAAAAAAAGCCACGGCGTGGTACGTGTGTGTGTGTGTGTGTGTGTGTCTGGGCTGGGGGTTGGAAGGTCTGTTTGCCTCTCCGCCAAGCATCGATTTATCCTTTTCTCCAATTTATTTCTCCTCCTTGCCTCTACGATCCATTCAGATCTGCCTCTAGGGGAGGAACTCAGGGTAAAGACATTGTCAGGCCTCGTCGTTGCCTCCTAACACCGGCTCAAAACTCATCTACAGGCCCGGGGACCGTGTACCCCTGCAAGGACATGTCAGGCGGTGACGTGCACACAAACAGAGCTACCTTGCATCCAGTGGCACTCTTTTGTCAGAGCTGTAATTGGCCTCATAATGCACCATAAAGGACACAGATAGGAGGCTTCAATGATTGCGAGGGGATAATGCAGTATTCGTCTCAAAGAGAATTATATTTGTTTCAGTTCAAACACTGTGCTGAAAGACGATTCAGTAGACCACAAAATGATGATGATTTCAAAGGGGAGTTATATCCTGCTCTTCTTTCTGCAGCAACAACTGTTGGAGAAGCCAGAATGATATTTAATTGTTCCTCATAATCAGGCCTAGACTCAGTGTAAGAGCAGATATGATCAGAATAACAATATCTCAAGTCCTCATTCAGCTGTCTCAGTCTGTATGATTCTGACATTTTCAGATGTTATTACTCAGACTCAAGGATTTGTATCCTAAAGCCTCGGCGGTGATGACGGCGTTGAACAGAAATGCTGCATGTGCACAAATCCTACCGTCGTACCCCTACACACACAGACACAGACACACACACGTATGGCAGAGATCTGCGAGCCATTCTTCAGTGTCACAGTGAGCGACGCTTGGCACATCCTTACACCTGAAGTTGATCAATGCAGATATGTCCAGGGGGAAATTGAAATCCATAGGAAATTAGGCGGCACCAGTGATTTATTGGAATAGTAAATCACAGTGTGTGTGATGTGTGTGAAACGTGTGCGCTCCCGCTCTGTGTACAGTACTATACCTTGTGTCTGACTGGAACAGTGATATCATCAGCCCGTACCTTCCTGTCTCTCTCCATTTGGTAGACCCATTGAATAAGATCCAGAGGGGGGAAACCGTCCCTCTGGTACACCCCCCTCTGAGGTACAGGGTGGCGTAACCCCATGGACACAATGCTCTGCAGGGGTCCCTCTGAAGCAAAAGAAAAAGAGAAAGCAAAGAACTACTGTTAAGGTGGTGCATGGCACTGTCTATCTCAGTAGCTGCATTTCTATCCAAATGTCAAGTCAATTTTTTTCGCAAATGTCTGAAATGTTGCCAAAGACGATACAGAAATTAGGTCTGAAAATACATTTACTTGGCTGAAGTAATACAAAAATAAAAATAAAAGAATAGAAACCAGGAACAGGTCCTTCAGAGTCACTTTTGCTGTCTCAAAATGTTGAATGTTTTAGTATTTGCTGACAGCAGCAGCAGAATCCATTCAATGTATTTACATTTTATAATTTCCTTTCTATATGGTCGTTTTTTATAATTAGTCCACCATTCTTGTGCGAGATTTAAACTGCATACCTATGCATGAATGTTTCACAGGGAAACGATGCGACATGTAATCCTGTTTGTAGTTTTATCTCATTGACATCATTCTCACTGTTCACTCCTCACAGCCGTATCTGAGCTGTATTAACTCATAGTCAGTAAGTATTATGACTTAATAACTTAACACTGCTCTGCAAATGCAAACCGAACCCTTCCTACTGCTGCTTCTTCACATTTAAAACATTCATCTGGCCAAACATGGGGTGGCTTTTATTGTGAAACAGTCACAATAAAAAGAACAAAAAAGTGAACTTGTTAGTTTTATGACAAACCAGCTGTGGCCATTCAATCATTATGGCAGTTTGTACACACGTATAACAAACAGGCAGGTCAAATACTTCTAAAGGTTGTGGTAAACAAATATTTCACATTTTCATCTAAAATTCAGTGACTTTACAGGCAAATCATACAAAGCTAACATCTTTAATAATTAGTCAAATGTGTTTCTTATTCCTTTCAATTAATAATTTCTTTAGCAAAATTAAATAAACATTCTGCTCAGTGATAAAACATTTTTATCATTTAAAATGCATTTGCAGTTTTCATTCAGCCCTTTTAATTTGTTAATTTGTTGATTCAAAAATGACTTGAAGCTAGAAACGCTGTTATTCCCTTTTTGCGTTCACATACTGTTAAGTGTGATACTGTGGGTGTAAAACAAGAAAAAGTGACTCACACAACTAACCTTATGTTTTACTTTAACCATTAATCAAAGTTTTACCCCTAAACAAACAACCCCTAAACAGCAACAGAACTTACTTTAGAGTTTCCCCTCAACTTTCTGTGCTCCTAATGAAATGTGATCCTTTTAAGAATGAAACTATAAATACTTACAGTACAACAAATCAAAACCATACATTGAGAGGCTTGTGTGAGTCTCTCAGAGGAGATTGCATTCATGCATGTAAGTTCAAATAGAGAAAGTGTGTTGTGTAGTGTGGACAACGACTTAAGAATCACACTCCCACACCCCTTCCCTTGCTATTTTTTTCTTTTTCCAGGTACACCGCTTGTGTTCCAGCTTGTTTTTGTCCTACTTTAATTGCTTTTTTTTTTTTTTTTTTGCAGAGAAGAAGAAAAGACAACAACAAGGCAGCGAGGGCTGCAGCTAATGGAGAGGCTGTAATTGTGAATGGAGGCATTCATCTGGAGACGTCGTCCGTGAATTGCGCCGCACAATACGCAGCGCCGGGCTGCTCAGATCACCAACCAGTCACCAAACACACACTGATACACACATAGAGACGCACACACTGAACCCCTTAGATCACTGGTGCTCAGAGGAGGAACGTAATCACACCTCCTCAGAGAGCAAGGCACCAAGGAGGGGAGGAGAGAAGGAGGACAGGAGCTGGGGGGGAGGAGAGCAAGAAGAGAGGAGAAATTATACAAGGAGTGAGGAGGAGAGGGAGGAGGAGGAGACGCGATGGTGAAATTGATGTTTCCTACCATTTGATTTGGGCCATAGAGCCCAGGAGGCAGATCAGATAGAGCACACACACACACACACACACACACACACACACACACACACACACACACACACACACACACACACACACACACACACACACACACACACACACACACATATAAGACACACACACCAAGACTGTGATATAGAGTACATGCATGCACACACATACACAAACATGTAAGAAACCATACAACGATTCATGCACATCTCTTTCTCACACACACATCATCACAGAGATGCAAGTAAGCCTGCATACACATACACACTTTGACAGACAAGAATACACACACATAGACACATTTAAACTATACATTATATATATTATAAACATTGTGCATATAACATGCCAGAGCTCAGAGAACCATCTCAGAAACCCCACGCTTCCCTCTACCTGCTGAAACAGTAAAACCCACACACATCCTTCAGCCAAACAAACACCATTAAGCCAAAACACACAGAAATGCGTCTAAAAAAGACACAACAAAGCCTACGTGAGGGTATATATATATATATATAAAAAAACAACAACTCTCATCTCGGCGAGGCAAGACGAGGCACCTGTCAGCGCGGCGGCTCCTGCTACTACAGAGAAACATCAGGAAACAACAACTCAATTAAACACACCATCCCTGTTCAATTACTGCCACATAATCACAGCAATTTACCTTCACTTGCTGCACAGCCACCAAACAAACACACACGTGGGCAAGCACACATACAGAGGCGGAGAAAAACGTACAAACACGCACGGATGAGGCTGGATCACAAAAGACACCCGTAGCTTCATCCTACACATCCTGATTGTAAAGCTCGCCGTGTGGTATCTGCTGGCATAACAGAGAGATGGAGGATGGTGGATGTCTGGCAGAGAACAATATAAGTGGACTGCTGATTTACTGTAGCTCTAAAAACAATTAAATTTGCAAACATATCCACTACAGTATAAATGACATCGTAAGTATCACAGTTTCTGTCCTGTGAACGCAGCTGGCTGTACTTTAGGGTACGCATAAGTACATTTACGTAAGTGTTATAAATGTTTAAATCGGTCTGAAAATTATATCTACAAGTAGGTCAACTGTGATGTAAAGGAACACATCAGGGTTTGAGGGAATTCTGCTTCTTCTTGATAAGTAATGAGATCATAGATCAAAATCATCAATATGCAGCCATTATATCAGGCCCAGTGATCATAGTCCCCATATTCTTCCTGTTTCTGACATGAACCTTTTGATTTTAATCTTGTTCATAACTCTGTTTTAGGGGACAGTTTATTAGGTACACATAACAATAACAAATGCGGTCTATTACAACAGAGCTGCAATAAATTCTACCAAACAAGAAGGTTATAATGTTCAGTTTTTGTCAAAACTGTTTTAAAGAGGTGTTGATTCAACTGTATTATCATTTTGGAGGATGTAGTTTTTGTTAATCTGTATTGCATTATACTAAGAGCTGTTTCTAATATTTTGTCTAACCTCATTAACATAAGGTATGCTTCACTGCAGGGCTGTTGTGGACTGCATTAGTTTTAGCTAGGTATACCTAATAAACTGCCAACTGTTTCCCTCTTTTACTCCAATGAACTACAGAGGTGCGGGGGCTTTAACAGAGGACGCAGGGGTCATAGAAAATCAGTATGCATGGTTTACTTAGTAATTTCTACTCCCACTGGGATGTGTGTGTTCTATAATAATCACAAAGTTGACTGTGAACAGGACAGAAATCATTAAATCACCCCAGTGAAAACCAGAGGTCCTTGAGTAATATTAAACTGTCTGGACAGGGACTGTTTCTCACATACCCAGGTTAGAAATGTGACATTCACAGGCTGCATGCTAAAATGTTAACATTTACTGTGTTCATGTCAACAGGCCATTAGCCAAGACATGTAGCAATTCTAAAGCTACAGGATAAGTAATCTTAAAGGTCCAGTGTGTAACATTTAGGAGGATCTATTTAGATATTTAATATAATATTCATAGGTATGTTTTAATTAAGTATAATCACCTGAATATACAAATCATCTTTTTTGTTACCTTAGAATTAACTGTTTTTATGTACAGAGGGAGCGGGTCCTCTTCTATGGAGTCCACCATGTTGAACTGCCATGTTTCTACAGTAGCCCAGAATGGACAAACCAAACACTGGCTCTCAATAGGGACTTGCGTTTTTCACGAGTTTTGCAGGCCACCATAGTTTCTCCTACACACTCGGTTGAGTCAAGGGGTTTCAGTTTGTTGCAATCTGCAATACACCACTAGATGCCACTAAATCTTACACACTAGTCCTTTAAATAACATTGTGCACTATATGGCCTAAAAGATATTTGGACACACTTTTGTTACTTGATGTGGAGTTTTTTTATGGTTAGAGCTTGCCCACTTTGTTCCATTTAAGATCTGATTGAAAAATCACAATTCAACAGCATAAAATAATATTTTACCTACAACTTTGAGGTAATTGAAACGCCCTTTCCTGTTTCAAGATGACAATGCCCTCATACACACAGCCAGGTCCATAAAGACATCCTTTTCTCAGTTAGGTCTGGAAGAACTTGACTGATCTGCACATAGCCCTTACCTCCATCCCCCCATCACATCAGTGGCCAACCTCGCTAATGCTCTTAAATGGGCACAAATCCCATGCGTCTCAGAAGTCTACCGGTATTATTATATACGTGTGTATATACACACACACACATATAAGCAAATATATATTACATTATATATTGTTTGTTTAATCCATAATGCATACGCTTTGCATATGCTAAGTTTAGCTAATTGCCTTCTGGCTATAGCTAAATATTTTGTGTGCAGATATGAGAGGGGTATCCATCTGCTCATCTAAGTTCCATAAAAAGTGAATAAGCATTTCTTTAACGTATATATTAATAACACAAAAATCTCCAAATAGCATTCAAATATAATCTGCACACAGTATATCATTATGTGTGAAGTTCAGAGCCCAAAAAAACCCAAATAATGATTTCATTGGAGAAAAGACGAAGGAATAGCAACACTGCACGAACCTGTGAATGACTAGTGTGTGTGTGTGTGTGTGTGTGTGTGTGTGTGTGTGTGTGTGTGTGTGTGTGTGGTGCGTGTGTGGACAGCAGATTGACTAACAGCTTGAACTTGGGTTAGATCCAGGAGCACGGAGAGGGATACATGGATGGATGGAGAGAGAGGGAGAGAAGGAGGGGGAGAGCCATTGATTTCTCAACAGAGAGATCAGCATCTTGACAGAAAGAGACGAGAGGGCAACAGAGCAAGACACACACTCCACACAGACACACAGATAGAGAGGTTTCCCACTGTGGCCCTCAGATAAATTCCACAACTTTCCCATCTCCTCCCAGGTTTCTAGAACTGATCTGGAGTGCTTGCATGCTTCCTTGTGGTCTCGTTTTGAATAAAGTTGGGCTAAAATTCAGGTTTTAATTCAGATAAGCAGTGAAAAAGTTGCAAAATAAATCAATCTGTGAAATTTCCTAACTTGAACAGTTCATTTGTTAAGGTCCTTGACTTCTCCTGACCATCTTTCAAAAGTCCATGATATTCCAGGACCTTTTTCACCGGTGGGAACCCCCATTGACAAAGATCAACAGGAAAGTCTGGTTCAATGTCTTTCTCCCAGCATGCCTCGGTGATTCTAACAACCCTAAAACCCCCGACAGGGACACAGAGGACGGTGCTGTGGCTTCGTGCTGCTGTGGCTAACGAGGTGTGTGTGTGTGTGTGTGGAGGTCATGGGCACCGGGGGAGCTGACACACACCGTGAAGGAGGGGGTGGGATCGGGGAGGGGCAGCCAGGGGTCATGCTGTAATTACACATCACAGTCCCTGTGGTCAGTGGCCCGACTGACTTCTTCTGACTACACTGCCTCAGCCAAAGAAGCAAAGATGGCAGGTGGGAGGCAGGTGGTAGCGAGAGTGGAGGGTTAGGACATTTTTGCGCTGCACTTGTGGAAAACTTCAGGAAATCAGGATTTTAAATTTGTCTAAATATAGTTGAACTACTAGTTTATATGTTCTTCTTCTTCTTAAATTAACTGATTAATTGATTAATTTCAGTGGTTGCTGCTTTCCAGATGTACACTGAGAGCATGTGTCAAGCAGTGAACCTGCGTCCATTCTCTCCTTAGTTACATGTGTTCAAAGTACTGCGAGTGGTCGACACTCTCACATACCGTGCATGGTCCTGTGTGGGAGGTAGGTGCCGTAGAGGATGAGTGTAACACTGAGTAAGGCGCCGGATGCCTCCTCGTCATTCGGCCTCATGCAGCTCCTCACTGTGCCTTTGTGGTCAGTCACCTGGAAACAAACAATCAGCAAGGCCATAATTTCACCAAAAAGCCTGGATTCATGTTGAAAACTTTCTTCCTGCATCTAATATTCATTACGCATCCAAGTCGACTTGTTTGGACTGAATTCCAGGGGAGGAAACAACAAAAATGTAATGTAGTAAATTATTTACATATTGTACAGGAAACTATCTCTGACACAAGTGTGCTGCTACTTCAGGTCAAAGCCTGTTATCGACCCTCAGCCAGGACCAGACAGACTATACTGCACGTTGGACCCTGACCAAAACAAACGTAAATACATTTGGACTTATTAAATTCAGTTCTATGCATTCCATTATCTTTTCACATTTAAGCTTTTGTGTAACGTCACACGCAGTTTCTACAACAATCAAGCATCTTAATATGAAATACTGTGGTCACTGTGGTAGATTAGGGAACCATAGTGCCATAAGAAACTAAATGTTAAGTTTAGATTTTTTTATTTTATTTGCTAGTATTTAACTCAAATAACCAGGTACCTCTGGCTCAGTAACTCAAAGTGTATCCATAGGGAACTGTTGGGATCCCTTTTGAAAATCCTTTTGGACAGATGTCCTTCTCTGTTCGGGGAATCACTGTACTTACAGAACTCAAACTTGGTCATTACTGTGATTATTTTAAAGTTTAAGTTCAAGCTTGAAGTGAACTGTCTTTTTGCAGTTTGACAAAGCCAACAGAGTGGAGCATCTTCTCTAGTGAAAAGATCTATCTTAGTCATGTCCGTTATATAACTTCAGTTTCACTTTAATTTATATTATCATATTAGTATTTTAAGCTGGTCTGCTAAGCAGTTCTGAATGAGGTCCTCCAGTATTTGGATCCACTAGCTTGTGGATATGGATGTCATCCTGTTATACCACAAAAAACACTCCATATAAACTCTCTACATCTGCCAGAGCAGCTGCCCAGCCTGCCTGTGTGTGTGTGTGTGTGTGTGTGTGTATGTGTGTGTTTGTGTGTGTGTGTGTATTCTATATATGTGAGAGTGTATGTGTGAGTGCTCCCAGCAGACCAGAGGCCAGGCACGGCAGCCCCCAGCCGAGCGCTGCATCGATTTGCTGTTGGTAAACAAACAGCTGGATGCTACAGGTGGATCGATAAGCCTTGCATGCCTGCCGGCCTCCCAGCATGCCTTTCTACTGGGTCGACATGGCTCTCCGAAGCTGCGACCCTGTTGTCGCTTGGAAACTTCATGAGTCAAATATTTTGGGTTTCTAATTGAGCTGAAATTCTTTTTTTTAACATAAATTCACCCTCCCAACACAAGCGTCCAGGGAAATCCATAAATACTGTTTTTGGATGCCTTAACTTTACATATTTATATATTATATATATAATATATTTATTATATAAAATTTTATGTAGCAGTAAAATATCATGTTTGGTGATGATGTCAGCCATAAGTATGCTTTACCTTCTACCGGCATGATAAAGATGATGTTTAACTATAGTGGAATAAAAAGTGTGAGAGCTACAAGCAGAGAAAAAACCAGGGCATGAAGGAAGGAGAAATTAAACTGACTTTTAGACAAAAAAGAGACAAAGAAAATGAAAGGATTAGCAGAAACAGAGGAATAGAGGGGAGAGTGGAAGGATTTCAAAGCCAGAGAGAGAAACTACAGAGAGAGAAAAAAGAGAGGTGGGGGGATTAGTGATGGGCGAGAGATGGCGGGATATCAAAACGGTTGAGTGCCAGGGAGAGGAAAGTGAGACCCAGCGATAGAGGGTGAGCCTGAGAAGAGAGAGGAGTTCAGAAAGAGATAGTGATGCAGAGGGAGGCAAACAGAGACGAGACAAAGATATATGTAACCCATGAGAGGAAGACAGAAAACATCATTAAGAAAGACACAGACAGGAGACAAAGAGACAAAGATTCATAAAAAAGGGAAACGCCACTTGGCAGCTGTTTGGAGATGAAACTAGGAATGAAAATCATTGTAGATACAATGTTTCAGCAGAACTGATCGTGGATTAGAGAAAATACGAGAACATGCGACTGGATGGATTCCGGTTCAAATCCCGGGACTGGCTGAGAAAAGGTAGACAGGAAAACGGGAATGTGTAAATTAGCGGTAATACACTGTTAAAATGTGTAGCTTCGTATTTGCTGCTAAACAGTGGTTGTTTTGTACGCAACATCTGTTCGTCCATGGTGATTCAGAGCTCAGGTGTTACTAATAACATTTTGATGGCCCTATTGTAGTAAGCAGTAGCTCTGCTGTAGTAGCAGGACCCTGAAACTGAGGCAGCTAAATGGAATTCAACCAATTATTTTTTATTATATACCCCTGTGCTTTTTCTACTGTGAAATGTCAAAATGTCCTCTAAGACAAAGGCCTATGGCTCACTCACATCAACTTTTTTTATTCTTTCAAAATTGTACAATACAACACTTCCTGCTCTCAAGAACATTTCTCTTGAGATGTACTTCAACACTATTTTTATATAATAAATATTATAAATAACTTAGTATTTAAGAGTTTAGACTCAAAGAACTGAACATATATTTATGCTATTTTGGTTAATTAATACCTGACATTGCTTTACACAGCTCAAAGATTTAATACCAGAGTTGTTAGTCAAAACATGTTCATGTCCTAAAAGAAAGAAAACCTTAAATATTTTTATTTGAAAACCTTATTACATCCTAACACATTCAAAGGTAAATAAATACTGTACTGTCTTTTATTGCATTTTCTACTTCTTAGAAATCAGCTGATTTGTGTTAAGTTAACTACTTGATAATGATACTGATATCTCTGCACTGTAGCGTTCAGTAGCAGATATTCCATATCTTTACATATGACACGCATTATAGGAACAACTTTGACAAATTTATTGTGTTTTCACTAAAATATGAGGGGTAGGAAAGCATATAGACCATCACAATCAGTTTTTCATCACAACCCTTCACCTACCAGACTCAGATAAACAATTAGAAGGCCTTGGCTATGAGACAAGACAAAAAAGTCTGACTGAATGAGTATTATTACTTTAACCCCCAGCACCTCACACTGTGACTATCAGGGGTAAAATGTGAAACAAGAAGTTGCCTGAAAAGTGCAATGCACAGAAGCTTCAAAATAAAGCCCTAAAGAGGAACCTGCGAGTGTTGGCTGTGTTGGAGAGGGAAGCAGAGTCAGATGGGAGGGGAGGAGGAGTCTTGCTGCGTCTACATATGTAAAGCAGCAGGGAAGCAGCAGTGTGTCAGACTGAGGCTCTGGCCCAACCTGAGCTCCTCGCTGCTCCCTCCAACACATCAATCATCCAAAACAGGGCCATCATGGCCACACTGCATGCTGGGAGACACACGCACGCTCAGGCACGCACACACTGCAGCAGGCTTAAACACAAACAACTGAACAAACATACACACGGGTTGCACGAACACAAAGGTTTAAATTGTATACACATGCGCACACACTGCACAAATATGTAGTGAATTGCAAACACTAAGACATAAAACTTAGAGATACGTTACAGTAACACACAGGCGCAGACACACCTACACACACACACACACACAGATGCAAATACACAAATGAACATTCTGCAACACACACACAAAGGCATACACAAGAACACTGCAGAAGTGCACATAGTGAATGACACATACAAACACCTGCAAATACATACAAACTACACACACACACACACACACACACACACACACAGGAGTCACACTCTCTGTGTCTCACAAAGCACGCAGACAAACAGAAATAGGTATCCTGTGCCCACAGGGTGCCCTCGCCCCCGACCATCTGTGACGGGTGCCAACACACAGTGGGTGATATTTACATGGAGAACCCCCCCCTCCACACACAAACACACACACTCGAAAAGAAAAAAAAGAAAGAAATACCCACAAAGGGCCGCACGGATCGCTTGATCTCCCAAAACTCATTAAACATGCAGATATATGCAAATATATGCACCTCTAGAAATCCACCTTGGGCCAGAGTGAGTGAGAGAGTGTGTGTGTTTGTGGCTGAAAGTACACGTTTGTGAGAATGTACAAGTGAGTTTGTTTCCACTGTAGCAACTACCGAGGCTTTGACAGTGCGTCTGCCAGACTTGATGCTGTGTGTGAGTTTGTGTAGTTACTGTATATGCTGTTACAGTAGAGTGTGAACATGTTTTTACACTTGTTTACCAGTAGTGAGTAGTTTTCCTTGTTATAAGCAATTCATCAAATTATACTGTTACTTTTTTAAGTAATCTAACTGCATTCATAAATCCGAACTACCATTACCACTTCAAAATCACATATTTAGGGCTAAAAGATCTGCATTCCGCTTGCATTTTATTATTGCCAGTTGTCTCAATTTCCTCTTGGATTAGACATAGTGGACAAAGATGTGTAACAAAGTTCCACCCCCACTTGCAATTAGTAAGTCATAAGTTAGTATACTTTAACCACCCGCACTAACACCCACTGTACCTGAACTACAGTAGAAGTGAACATAACAACCAGTTAATGGAATAAATTATCACACGTTTACATGTTTTCATGTGTTTACATGGACTAAAAGAAATAAAACTTTCCTGACAACGTAATACATTATTATGATTGTAAAGGTCACAGAAGTACAATTGTTGAGTTACTGTACTAATATTGAGTATCTGCTGATGCCGAGACCCGATCCGATACCTGTATTTATTTACTTTTTGATAAAACAGGTGCACAGTGCACACTTCAAGTACATTAAAGTCATTAAAATCAATTCAATGTAGTAGATGCTTCACAATTAAATAGCTCTGCATTGCGTCAAGAAAAAAATGCCTTCATCCAAGATGTTACCTAATGTTTTTGTTTTTAATTGTTACCAAGTGACAGCTGACGGAAAACAAACAATCGGATCGGGAACTCCTGCTAGAGCTGGCGCCTCCTGTACCAGTCCTTCCTGCAGTGGCCACAGGTTTGAATCCGACCGGTGAGTGTCATCCCCTCTCTCTCTCCCCAACTTTCCTGTCAATCTCCAGCTGTCCTATCCAATAAAGGCAAAAAGCCCCAAAATATTATGTAAAAAAAGAGAAGAAAAAAAATATAACCAATACCCATAAGTTAAAAAATGCCTTGATCAGATCGGTTATTTTTGTGGGGGTAGAAAGGCTGTATTTAGACATTACAGTCTCCTCTAGAACAATATAGAAACAATCACAAAACATATTCAAGTGTACAGAATCAGATCTAAATGTCTCAATTCAGGTTGTTGCCCTCCAACAGATAACTGCCGTAGTAATGATCATTTCTTCAATAAACACGTAACAACACAAACTGCATCATATCCATCAAGGTGGAAGGCACTGATTGGCTAATGTCAATATTTTCTACTGGCTGCACGCACTGATCGAACTCCACAGTTTCTACATTATCTGCTGGTTATTCCATTATCAGTTTGTCACTGTGTGTGTTTGCTTTGTGTAATCTGTTGGAGAGACAAGAGGGGAGGAGCAGGAGTGACTCCAGGAGAAGCACCGGGGATGATGATGGTAAATATATGATCTGTCAGTCATGGCCAGCAAGGGTGGCAGTTTGTTTGTGTGTGTCTGTGTGTGTGTAGCCACAGTGCTGCAGGCTAAATAGTGCCATTATATTCCTACAGCAACACTAGTCGCAGTCAGCTCGAGTGTCAAAGTCCTCTGGGAATCAGAGATGTCTCTGCTCAAAGACTGCTGTCACCCTGCTACACAAACACATACACACACACACACACACATACAGACAGACACACACACGCACTCCCTGTAGGCATGGCAGCATGGAACCAGGTGGGGTAGAAGGCAGAGGGATGTATGTGTGTTTATATCTTTGTCTGTTTTTTTGTGTTTGTATGTAAGATGATGATGCTTCTCTGAAAGTATAGCGCAATAATGCAAAAATGCTGCCAGTCATAGCCATAGTTACCAATTAAATCACTGCATTACATGCACACACACACACACACTTAAAGGGTCGGTTCACCCAAATTAAAAAAAGAGACTTCCTCTTTCTGGTGTGTTTGAGGTATCTGTCTCTGAGATTTGTGCCCCCACAACACAATGGGGGTTATTGAAATTTAGTTTTTGGTACTCACAGTAGTGAAATATTACATAGACAACTTTTTTCCCAGAAAGTTTAGTTTTTGACAGAAAGTAATTCAGCTGAAAACTGTTCAGTGTTCTGTGGATTAGCCAAAATAGCAGGGACACTGATTCTGAAAAGAGACGTTGCTGCTGAATTTCTTGAAGGTAATTGTTTGATGCTGTTAGCACTGCAGACAACACTCCATTTACCTCGACTGTATTGGGGTGGAGACAGAGATCTCAGAAAAATCTTAAAACCTGGGCACATAAAATCAAAACTATCTGCAGGAATAGATACAACGGGAAGTTGAGGAAATGTGTCTTTTTGTATTTGGGGGATATGGTATACTAATGGCTTACCTGTCATATTTTACTATATAGACAGAAATGCTTTAAAGAAAAGATGAGAGAGAGACACTGAGAATGTCTGTGTGTGTGTGTGTGTGTGTGTGTGTGTGTGTGTGTGTGTGTGTGTGTGTGTGTGTGTGTAGGAGAGGATGAAGAAAGATCAAGGGCACACAGGGTCGAAATAACATCTCATTTATCTGCTTATGGTCTATCCTTAATGTTTATAGATATTAATGATTGTATATAATTATTTTCAATCATGTAGTTAATCGTGGTTTAAATCACATCTGTACATTGCTGCTCTTGCCTTTCTAGAATACACATATTCCATATTGTGCCTGCAATATTGTCTGTGATAAACAGTAAAAGCACCACAGATGGAGGTAGAGCGAGCACAGGGGAAAGCACATACAAGAAGAGAGAGAGAGAGAGAGAGAGAGTGTGTATTTTCAGCCCTGCGGTCTCGTCTCCTTCACAGCACTGGAAGGTCAGCCGAGCCCCGAGCCATAAGACTTGCTCCCTTTTCACTTCAGTCCTGCTTTTATCCCAGGAGCACCACAGTGCTCTTTGACAATTGTCATCATGACGAATCAATATAGACTCTCCACAGACACCTCCCCCTGTGCCGCCCTTGAGTTTTTAAACACTGATCCGGCAGATAGTCCAGTTAAAGTCTCTTCCCAGGGCCTCCATTTTATAAGTTTACCCTTCACTCTCTATCATCCCTCCTTCTGTCTTTTCTATTAGTCCTGTATGTCCTCTGTCTCGCTCACGTCCCCGCCTCTGTTTCTCTATTCGCATCATTTCAAGGTTTAACTGGCATGGCTGCTTGTCAGAGGCAATTTTTATTTTTACAGCCACACAGAAACATGTCACAAACCATCAAATGTAAATGTAAAGAGATTTTGTGTCAGGAACCATGATATGTCAAATAACTGTTCTTGTACCAGTGACTAAAATAGTCCACAGAACTTTCTTTTACTGGGACAATTAGTAGACTTAAACTTTGGGTGAGCCATGATATTTAATCATCAGTATCAACAGTTTAGAAAGAGAGAGATTTTAATATATATAATTAAAAAGCCAGCTAGGGCATAGGGGACATTGTTGCAAATTCCTTTATAGGTATGTGTGTCCCTCCTTGTGTTGACTTCAAGCGCTGTCACATGCCGTCTTATTCTCAGCTCTGTATTTCTGATTGTGTGTTCATGTTTCTCTCCAATTTGCGGTAAAGTTGGCAACCAGCGTAAAACCAATCAGTGTGTGTGTGTGTGTCAGTGTGTGTGTATGTGCTGATTAGCCGTGTGCTAAGGCATGCGGCACGTAAGATGCAAGCGTTAATTCGTGTTGCGAGCATCACGGTGACTCGTCTCGGCCCTCCGGTAATGAGCAGCGCCGTCGTTATGTGGCTCTGCTTCGCGGTGTTTCCTCCCCGTCTCTGCGACACACTGGGCCTTGGTAATTGGTCACAGAGGGGACAGTAAATCTGCACGAGGACGTGGGAGAGACACAGAGACGGAGAGATAGAGAGAGACAGTGTGTGTGTGTGTGTGTGTGTGTGTGTGTGTGTGTGTTTGTAGGAAGAGGTAGGTGATAGAGGATAGGGGGTGGGTGTCTTTCATCTTCACAGCTTTTTCTCTATAAACCTCCAACTGTTTACAAGGACTGATGCCTATTTGCACACACACACACACACACACACACACACATACACATTTATATACACAGTGAGTCCCCCCCACCTCTACTTCTGCCACCCACACGTATATACAGTAAATGACCTCAGCGCGCTACTGTCTGTGAGTATGGATTCTAATCAGACGTCGGCAGTATTGTGTCTGTCAAACCTGGCCAAGGTTACTTAACCTTCCAGTCTTAATTTCCCTTCCATTTTAGCTCCTTCCTCCATATCAAACATCAGCACATCTATGAGAGAAAAAAAAAAAAAAAAAATAAAAAAAAAAAAAAAAAAGGAAAGAGCGTGGGGAAGAAAATGAAGATTGCCATGCTTGGCTGAAACTCGGAGATGAAAGTAGAGGATGATTCACATTGCTATGGCAAAATGAACTGAACCAAGCTGAGCTGAGCTGTGCTGTGCTGGGCTATTTTTAAACTTCTATACACCGCTGCTACTGGAAGAGGACAATGTGAAGCGGAGCAAATCATTTCTATATCATGAGAGAAGGTATGTGAATTAGGGTTTCCAGGAAAGTATGTAAAAATTTGTATATAAGCTTTGCCGAGCTTTGGTACATTTTATAGGCCAGTTGATTTAGTTATCACTTGTGGGATGCAGACTTGTACAGACAAAACTATGAATTCTTCACCAGATTACAAGTTATGTCAAAGCATTGAGAGATGCTGATAAAGTTTACAATCTTGGAGGCCATCTTCACTTATATACAAACATCTAACAAAGTTGAGTGAAATGCTTTCAGTGTAATTTCTACCTTTTGTTGAGCTCAGAATCACCAAAAAGGGTAATAGTGAATATTCAAAAGCAGACTTAGGCACAGAAATGTTTGCTAAATGCCAACATCAGCATGCTAACATGGTGATATTTAGTTAGGTATCATTTTTTATCATACCATCTTAACTAAGCATGCTACCGTTAGCATTTGCCGATTAGCATTAAACAGTGCAGCTTAAGTGTAGCTAGGCAACTGATGGCAGCTCATGATGACATTTCATTTTGTCTCTCACCTGTAGGGTCCAGGGGCCTCGTGGCTGCTCCCCCCAGCAGTGCACCGTCATCAGGGTCCAGTTTTTCAGGCCTGCATTGGAGGCGTCATTGGGCCGTGTGTCCAACAGCAGTGATACGGTGCCGGCTGGAGACGCCAGGCTTATAGAGAGGTCACCGCGACACACGGTGCTGATGCTTACTCTCACCTGTTGAGAAACAGGTGGCAAGAAACAAAAGAGAAGGGAGGTGTGAAGGAGACTGATGGAGGGATAAAAAAAAACAAAAACATGCTCTCTTCCAGGTCTTCTCATCAGTTTCACTGTATGAAACCCTGTGGCTGCTTACTGAGTGTGACAGAACTACTGGTCTTTATTTTTTAACATACTTTACTGATTGTTAACTTGAACTTTTAGCTTAAAAGCATACTTTTGTGTATTTTAGGAAATACATATATTTTCTTTCTTGCAAAGAGATGTAGCCTATGAGAAAATCGCTACCACTTAGACCCAGAAGCCAGTTAGCTTACCATCACATAAAGACCAACCAAAAACAATTTCTCCTTCCAGTGACTTTGAGTTTCCACTGGTTGCTTGACAACAGTCCGAAAAGTTACAGTGCCCGACCAAGAAATAGTCCTGTACACAGACTCCCATAAAACTACACAGTTTAAATAAAAATGATGTAACATTTTAATGCGTGACACTTTGGGGCTAATAGGCGGATTTTGATCAGAGCCAGGTTCGCTGTTTCCCCTAAATAAGAATGCAAATAGCATATTTCCTAAAATGTTGATCACCATAAATATCTGATGAAATATCAGTAATATATTCTGGAAATACTGCCAGGCAGTGTTAACATTTGATGTTTTCCCAAGTTTTAATCCAAATCTAATCAGTGTTATCTGAGATATTGTGTGTGCCAGACAGATGGACATAGCCACCTAAAGATGAAGACAAAAAAAACTAAGGAGCAGAGCAAGACAATACAAAAATGGCTGAGGGGAATATTAGCTAAATGATTTAAAGCACATGTACCCCCCAAAGCCCCATCCCCCTGATTCCCACCCAGTAAACACTCTCCCTGTCCCTGTTCATCACAAGCAGCACATCTGGTGTGACAATGGCACATCGCAGAGAGAGCCGCCAAGCTGCAAAAAGACTGACAGCCCGCTCCTGTTTACAGCGTGTTACCACGGCAACACGTCCATCAATCACACCTCGCAGCGATGGCCTGACCCACGCTTTCTGCCAGGGAGCAGAGCCGCAAAGATGAAGCCTTTTCAATTTACATGCTGACACACTCCCGCTCTCTCTCTCTCTCTCTCTCTCTCTCTCTCTCTCTCTCTCTCTCTCTCTCCTTGCTATTTCACAAGTACACACACACTAACACTCACAAACACAGATAAGTCGCACAAACTCAAACGTGCACAAACTCAAACGTGCACCTACACAGACAGGTACAGTACGCATGCCTGCTGACACAGTCAAATGTAAACACATTTGCAGGTATATGCCTGTACTTACGAAAAACACAGTTTTGCCATTTTCTGCAAATGACACAGCCAACACACTACACATCACAGTATGAGCCTTTTTATCTTTTCTATTCTCAGTTAGAACACATGACACAGAAACCCTGAAAACAATTTGTGTGAAATGTTCGAGCTTTCCTGGTTGCGGGCAGAAGTTAAGTTTTCCATACACTTCTGCTCGATTTGTATAATGTCACGGGCAACAGGAAGCATGGAACTGAAAACAGATTTTTTTTGCCTTTCAATGTTTTAAAGGAATAGTTTGACATTTTGGGAAATACTCTTATTTGCTTTTTTGCCTAGAGTAAGATGAGAACATCAGTGCCTTTCTCATATCTGTCTGTTAAATTTGAAACTATAGCCAGTTAGCTCAGCTTAGCATAAAGACTGGAAACCGAGTAAAATCTCAATCAGGACAAGCTGTGGTTTCACAGGGGGTTTGTGTGTGGGACTGCAGTATTTCTTGGCCAGGAGCAGTGACTTCCTGGAGTCTTTGCTGGTTGCCTGGCAACCATATGCTAAGTTTTTTTCACTCTAGAGGTGCTGGCAGGTGGATTTTGGCACCTTTGGAGAGAGCCAGGCTAGCGTCCCCCTGTTTCTAGTCTTAATGCTAAGCTAAGATAACCAATTGCAGGCTATAGCTATACACTATATTTAATGGACAAAGAAAAAGGTCTCCTCATCTGACTCTCAGCAACAACACAAAAAAGCATATTTCCACAAAAAGTCAAAATCTTCCTTAAGTAGAACTTTTTTCCCTATATTTTTACACCGATCAGCCGTAATATTATGATCACTGACAGGTGAAGTGAATAACACTGATTATCTGGTTATCATGGCACCTGTCAGTGGGTGGGATATATCAGGCAGCAAGTGAACATGCCATCTAAGTGCATTTCAAAACTTCCACCTGACCTGAACATGCTCTAGAGTGTTGATCTCGTTGGACCTCCCATGGCAGGCCTCTGATTGGATGTTCACGCTGACCAGGCCCCCTGGAGAAAGGACCCTAACCAATAAAAGATCATTATGTCAGTCAGTAGCCAAACCTTTTTCTTGTATGCTTAATAGACACTCATACACATGCATCCTCTCCTACAAATATCCAGACACACACAAAGCAGTGACAGTACAGGTGAAGATAAGATGAAGGATTATTGATTCCTGTGGGGAAGCTGTTTTGTTGAAGCAGGCAGAATAATGTGATACAACAAGGAATACCTTTAAAGCAGAACTTGAGACAAAAATCTGAATATAAGCAACAAAAGTGAGTGAAAGCAATAAAAAAAGAGCATCAGCAGCTATGGGAGTCACATAAACGTACAGCAGGTGGTCGATAAAGCTTTAAAAAGAGCCTCTTTTAACCTGGTAGGATCGAGTGTGACTTCTTGCGTGCACTTCCTCTGTGGAGCAACACTGGTGAAGTATACAGCCTGCTGCACCATCAGCCCTGCATCCAACAATCCGAAGCCATACCTGAAACAAGAAGAGAACATGCTGTCCATTATACATGTGTTATGTGTATATGAGCAGCATTTTTATATCCTTATATCCTCACACACATGTGAACTGGAGGCTTTTCATGTGGGTGGCTGAATGTGCTGCAGGAGTAAGTGCTAATGGCTCCGACATGAGGAGGCAACAAGTCATTGACGAAGATGATGTTGTCCTCTGACACAATCGCGTCCTGCTCTGTCCGGGCTGAGGCTAAGGGCTGCTGTTTGTACTGCCTGTAATTGCCTGGAGGATTGATTCTGAACAATGTGCCATCTCATGGACTGTAATCAAGCCTCATTATTCATTCTTTACCTCCCCAGTCTGGGTGCTGGAGACACAATGGTCGACCCTTAAGCGGCGTCGCTGCCTGGTGACTGTATGACCACTGCCTGTCTAACTCGATCCCCTCCACTTTACTGCTCCCGCTTCGCCGTCACTTTCCGTCTCTTTTGAATCATCCGCTCTCATCTTTCCTCTTTGCCCTCTCTTTTTCACAGGGCAGCCAGCTATTCAGAGTTCTTTTCCTCTCTAAATTCTCCTTCACTCTCCTCCATCAAACCAGAATTTCTTGCATCAGAACTCTCCTTCACCACTTCAGTGATGTTGAAATCACAGTCCTCATAAGTCTCGCCTTAATTCTCCCTCAAATCTTTCATTTTCACGCACTCTCCCTTTCAGTTTCCTCTTGTTAAAATCACAGCCCTCAGACTGAGTAACAGGGCCGTAACAACCTTCATTCTCCCCAACCCCTCCTCTTTGAAATCCAGAGGGGGTGACAAAGAGCTAATTTCTGCCATTATTACCATACAGACCTTATGCCGTTAATCTGCAATAAGTGAAATTCATTATCCTGATGACGGGGTCTCTAGGAGCAGCAGAGAGAGAGACAGGAGAAAGGAGAGAGCTGATCAATAACTCAATCTGCTGCCCTGCATGGGGCTCAATCTCCTCTGTCTCAGACTGTCAGTGTGTCTGAGGAGGAGAGGCAGGAGCTGCAGCCCACACCGTCCTCGTCCTAACAGCACGCCGCGCGATCAATGGACACAATCTAATCAGCCACTATCACCACCAATGACTTTTAGCATGTAGGGCCCAGCATAATAGCATTAGGCAGACGGGTGTGTGGGGTTGAGGTGCACTGCTGAAGTTCAAGGTCATTTGGGAGGTTTGTGAAAGCTGCGAAGAGTTGCAGCAAAACACAGCTGACAGGAGCTGAATGCAGAAGACTACACTTGTGACTGCTAAGGCATCGACTGGCATGGATCCTAATAAAGAATAAAGAACCTAGACATATAATTATTTGGCTCTTCAAGCACAGAATGTGCAAATACTAAATGATGGAAGGTAAAAGTGATTTTATGCACTAATCAATGTGTGTTAGAAGTCACCAAAAATGGAACTGTGATCCTGAATGCTCCCTAATACATGTTCAAAGATGCATTCAAACTAATTTTAGTGTTCCTGCTTAGACTTGTTTCTGCTCTGTTGTTACAACAAACACTCAAAGATAATCATTAAGCTCACTTAAAAAGACTTTCAGGGCATTTCATTTCTGTTGCAATGAAGACAGACAGAAAATGTGTTGCAGGGGCAGGAGACAGGAGATTTAACCTAGACTTTCTTACTGAAAACAGCCCTGTGATGAAACATGGTAAGGGGCTTGTTGTTTCAGGTAGCGGTAAGACAATAAAATATGATCCAGGAAGGCTGGTTTGAGTAACAGATCCATGAAATAGCTTGAGATGTGAAGTTATCACAGCGGCAATAATTTTATCTTTCATTGTGACAAAGTGCAAGATAAACATCAGAAATGTGCCGTTCATGTTGCAAAGTAAACAACTACGATTCTGTGCTGCACACATTTAGTTGGTTGGACACAATGCCTTGCTAAACTGCTCCACAGCAAAAGTTAAGCCAGGTTCACCTTTGCTGGCGTTTTTTTGTCGGAGCTCTCCACGTTGGCATCCCCTCTGTCAATGAAGCTAGAGCTAGGATTTACAGGCTTTGGCTACAGAGACAATACCTGCCACTATAATCCATTTATTGGGTTTTTTGTCTATGTTGACAACTTAAGAAAACATAGAATTGTACATGCACACTAAAAGTGTATAGATAGAGACAATGTATAGATTTCTGTTGCATTAATTCGCTTCATTCTCCCCTTCCTACAGTGGCATGATTCTCATTTTCAGTAGATTATACACAAATGAAAACATACCTTTGAATATTATATTTCATTTCTGCCAATAGATCCTCCTAAATGTTACACACTGGACCTTTAAGTGAAGGGCACACACACCTTTTCAATAAGGAACTGCTGTGTGGCAGATTCACCAGAAACAACACCAAGGAAAGGCACTTGAGCTGTCTAATGTCCTGGATATATTGAATGCAATGGTGACCATAATGTATAAAGATTTGTTCATGTACAATATAGCTCTAGAGTTGTTGTCTTTTCATGAACATATTAGAACCCGAACAGACACTTACACAATACATCTGAATGCACATCAGTGTCACTATTAGTATATACATTTGTTTCATTTCCTGATTTAGCTTCCTAAAATGGATAAATACAATAAAAACACCAGCAATAACAATATATTAACTAAGATATTTAACAGTGTGGGGGAAACTGATACCCTGACTTCACATAAAACAGAAACTGTTGGTGACCGGGGCTTGCCGCCCTGCTCCCTTTTAGTGATTAAATATACCCTCCCCACCCCGTACCCCTTAGCGAGAGCTGTGCACCTATTAAATCCTACAGCTCCCGCTGATCGATCGGGCCTGCCCCAGCTCCACGGCCATAAACCCACACAGACATATATCTGATAGAGAAAGCTGCAGGAAACAGGTTTACCCACGATAGAACATGATGAAAATGACAGATTTTATGTCCCCTGCCATGTCAATGAAACACCACCGCTGAGCTGAGCCGCTTTTCAAGAAGACTCTCCGGCCTTTTCAGCCATCTCATCATCAGTACCAAGGAATGAAAAGACTAACAGTGCTACCTTCAGCAAGAAAGAGCCTTGTGATTTCTCCAAACAGAAATGTGTGCAGAACAGGATTTAAAGCTGTTGTGGTTTGTGACATTGTTTAGTAGTTTAACAGGAGCTGTAGAAAGATTTGTAGATTTTGTTTGTTGAATGTGGTTAAGATTTTTGGAAATACTCCAAAGATGTTGGAGATTAAATTGTCTTTAAGATGAATAAGCCACATACTGTAAAACATATCAAGAAATTAGTCAGAAAACACAGTCATCAGATTATCAACTTGTTCTCTCTCCACCTCCTGCGTGGTCGGAGGAAGGTTGAGCCAAGCCGACTACAGAGTGACAGCCGATCTTCTGTCCACGCAGCACGAAGCATGTTAAAGCCCCGACCCCCCGCCTCCACACATATCGAATCTTCGGCCCTCGCATTTTCTCTATCCACTTTCACTCCTCGACGGCAAATGCCCTTGCAAACTCTTACTCCCTCCTTCTTTTTTATCCATTAGGACGAAGGCGACCCCCCCACCCTCCCACCCCACCTCTCCATGGGGCCTCTTTGTAACTGTCGAGGAACCCTTTTCACTTTTTGTTCTGCAGGCCTTCCCAGGTCCTTTCTCTGTTGATATTCACACCATCTGCCAGCAGCAGAGGAAGGTGCACACAAACGAAACCAGCACTGAGACATCAAGATCTCCAGGGTCGAGGTCCTCCTTTCGTCTTTGCACATGGCATTAAAAACACAGTTTTAACAACTGGTATGCTGCAACCAAAACATTTTTTGCAGCTATCCAGGGACCTCGCTACTGCAGTCTCACCCCTTGTTTGCAATGGTACGTCCTGCTAAGTCCCCCCCAATAGAAGTGGCTGTAAAGAATCACTCAAGCCGCACTAAGCAGCTGCCTGTGAGTTAGGTCATTTTCCCAGGAGCCACAGAGTGGGCATTGGCAGGACCTCAAAAAGAGGGGACACCATCTGTTCAGCGCCTGAAAAGGTTGGTGACACCTTCTGTGGTACCAACAACTTCTAATTAAGTGGCCAGGAATGCAGTAGCAGCTCCAGTGCATGATTGGTGGGCTTGCTTTAGATATCCTGACGACAACACAGCAGACCCACGTTCAGTTTCACGCACCTCTCCATCACATCTGGCCATGGGCTAATGAAAAATTAACAGAGACTGGATACAATAAACACTTGGTGAAGGTGGCACATGAATGGAGAAGCCAACAAAAACTGTATTTACTTTTGTCTATGATTTCTTTTGTCCTGTTTTCATATCACTTAATTGAATGTTTATCAGGAGCATAGAAAACTGCATTAGCCCTATGGTCAATCCCACCGTGGTTTGTTTCTGTTATATCATGATGCCCTAATTTCATTAACATTAGGATTTAAATGAAATAACAAATAGACTTAATATTCTTCTGATTTCCATCGCCAAATCTGCTGCTCAGAAATGTTACTAATTAGGCTTATTAAGTAATTAAGAAGAGGTCTTAATTATATCTGCGCCACTGGGACCTGCACGGCTGTAACCATGAAATGCTGTGCCGCGCTGCTCAGCTTTGTTGGTTTGGATGTTACACAGTTTCATCCATTAACTGTAAACTGAATGTTCTGTGTGTTTTTAGAGAGAAAAAAGTCTCCAGTCTGTATTAGGCAAATATCTGTATGACTTGAAATTACAGAGAAAGAAACACTCAGCAGCCTTCAGAAGCACAGCCTCAAAATGTCAAGTGAATTACCTTGCAAAGAGTTAAAAGTTTAATGAAATATATTGCGGGGAGGAAAATGAGGGGTTTGGCACAGGCATGGACTTAGTCTCAGGAGAATGGGCACCAAACGGCCCTCTCCGTCTCTACAGCCATCAGTCAAAGTAGCAGCCACCCGTCCCCTTCTCTTACACAAGGAGACTTCTCTGGAAGCCACAATGATCTATACCCCATGACCTCACTCTCAGTGTCCAACATATTTTGATTTGTAG